CTTAGCAAGAAGATCTTCGATTATAAATGCAAACGAAACTTTTAGAACCAGCGCGGAAGGAGAAGTCTAAAGAAGTACCGCAGGGACCTTCTCGACTATCGTGTTCTGCTGACAACATTACTAAACGAAGACGGGACTTGCACATCTTCCCGACAGGAGATGGAATCGATCACGATGGGATTTTACGCCAATCTCTTCCGCTTATCAACACCTGTGTCAAACCCCGTTATTCCCACTGGAGAAGTACCACCACGGATTCTACCTGCTGAAGTACGCGCCGCAACCAAACCATGAAGGCAGCCACGGCTCCGGGACCGGACCATGTTTCGGTCGATCTTTTACGAGCTGGAGGACATCCAAAAGGAAAGGATCCCCGACCAGTAGAGAATCTCCCGAACAATCCTTTTTCGTAAGAAGGGCGATAGGGAGGATCTTCGGAACTACCGTTCAATATGCCTGCTGAGCGTGCTTTACAAACTTTTTACAAAGATTATTCTCGCTCGCATATCAAGGACACTGGATGAGGCTCAACCTGTAGAACAAGCTGATTTCGCAAAGGATTCAGCTGCGTGGATCACATCCAAACAATTTCGAGGATCATCGAGGTTTGCCGAGCGTACCGCCTACCTCTCGTCCTCACCTTCGTCGAGATAGCGTTTCAGCGTCGAGACTAATGCCATACTGTCAGCGCTCGTCCACCAAGGGGTGGACCCATCCTACGTGAGGACATTGGCCGACTGCTACAAGAATTTGTACAACGGTACAGCTTTTCCAACGCGGAGACGTCTTCTTACGTGTATCTCGGACGTCCTATGAACATGGAAAACGACCTGAAGAAAGAACTAAACACGAAGCGAAGAGCAGCTTGGCCGCTTTCGGGCTCCTAAAGGAAGCCAAAGACCAGCTGGCGGACCCAGAGCTCCGAGCCCACCTGTTCGATTCAACCGTTCTTCCTGCGCTCTGTTACGCAACAGAGACGTGGCCTGACACTGTGGCTGCGTCGAAAACACTCCGAACAACCCACAGAGCGCTGGAACAATGTCTTCTGAAGTTCAACCGACGCACCCAACGTCTCGTCGGACTTCGCAGTTTGGACATGAGATCAATGTCCTGTCTTCGCGATCCAGCGGAATACGTCTTTAAGGCAAAACATTGATGGGCTGGTCATATAATGAGAAGGACAGACGACAGATGGACACTAAGAACTTTGGAATGGATCACTAAGAACTTTGGAATGGATCTCTCGCGAAGTAAAATGTCCTCGAGGCCGAGGCCAGCGACCAGATGGGCTGACGTGTTCATGGCACTGATGGACCAGCTGAATTCTCAGTTGGTTACGAGTAATGGATCTGGACCTCGCGAACGTCGCCGCCGCAATTTAATACCAATATCGTGGATGACGCTAGCG